CTGACGACTGCCTCCTGGTCCAAGTATAGGTTTGGCATTAGAACGATCAAGTGTTCTGGGATTCCCATTCTTCTCAGAGTCAGCCACAGTTTGTTATGACCACACAGTCAAATGCCTTTGCGTAATCAATGAAACACAGACATTCTTCTGGTGTTCCCTGCTTTCAGCCAAGATCCATCTAACATCAGCTACAATATCCTTAGTACCATGACCCCTTCTAAACCCAGCCTGGACTTCTGGCATCTTCAGTAGACTCTTGCTTGCATGGGAAACCAATTATATTGTTCTGTAGTTTCCACACTCAGTTGAGTCATCCTTCTTTGGATTGGGAACAAATATAGATCTCTTCTAGTCAGTTGGCCAAGTGGTTGTTCTCCAAATTTCTTGGCACAACTTGGTGAGCACATCTAGGGCAGCATCTGTTAACTGATATATGTCAATTGGTATACCGTCTATTCCTGGGGCCTTATTTTTGCTATATTCTTCGAAATAGCTTGAACTTCTTCCTTCACCACCATAGGCTCTTGCTCAAATGATATTTCATTAAATTATTCTATATCTGCCAATTCCTTTTGGTACAATGACTCAGTATATTCCTTCCGTCTTCTTTTAATACCTCCTGGATCATTTAATATTCTGCCTAAAGCATCCTTGATTATAGCAACTTTTGGTTTGAATTTGTTCTTCAGTTCCTTGAGCTTAAGAAATGCTGAACAAGTTCAGCCCTTTTGATTTTCTCACTCTAGCTCCTCACACATTTCATTGTAGTATTTTGCTTTGTCATTCCGAGCTGCCCTTTGGAATCTTCTGTTCAGCCCTTTAGCATCTTTAATTCTTCCTTGTGCTTTGGCTTCTCTACGCTCCAGTGCAATCTTCAGAGTTTCTTCTGACATCCATTTTGGTCTTTTCTTCCTCTTCTGTCATTGCAATGACCGTTTGCACTCTTCCTGGATCATACCCTTGATGTTCTCCCACAACTCATCTGGTCTTCGGTCATTAGTGTTCAAGGCCTCAAACCTATTCCTGAAACGATTCTGAAATTCAGGTGGTATGAAATCAATGTCATATATTGGCTCCTGTGGATTCAGTTTCATTTTCCTCAGCTTCAGCTTGAACTTGCATATGAGTAGTTGGTGGTCTGTTCCACAATCAGGTCCTGGCCTAGTTTTCACAGCTGATATCTCCAGGTCTGTCATGTTGCCTAACTGCCTGTAAAGTACTGTTTGATCAATGGGGTCATCAGCAAGCTATTTGAGGCAAGAGGAATCCAGTGGCTTACCAGCAATCTTCTCTTACCAAAAATCCATATTGCCATTTTGATCCTCTTAAACCATAGCTTAGTTGCCTTTGAGACACTCTCTGGAGTTTCCCAAGGTCATATGGAAGTTAATCCAAAAACCTCTGATTAGTTTGAAAGAAATCTGGGTGAGATGAGAGAACACATGCACTCAGTACTCCAGAGATTTGCCTCTTAAGTAGCTCCTCTTCAGGACCTCTGGTGGCTTAGTGGTACAAAACAGTGCTGCAATTCCAAAGGCATGCTGTTCAAATACACCAGCTAATGTGCAGGAGAAAGATGGGTGATCTCCTGGGCAATTAAACTGCCTCTAAAAACCTCACGCACTCGCCCCCAGCGCTTCCTGCAACCAGCTTCACGCGCCCCCTTCGGCGCCAGAAAAAAAATCGGTTACTGCTTTCTTAACAGGTCTTCATTTGTGATTGTAATTTCTTTTTAAAAAATTTTATTTTATACTTGGTTGCATCCAAAGTTTG